CCCAAACCCCCAAACTCTAAACCCCAAACCCGAAACCCTAAACCCTAAACCCTAAACCCTAAACCCCAAACCCTAAACTCTAAACCCTAAATCCTAAACCCTAAACCCTGAACGCTTAGCACGGCAGACTTCGGATGGTCCGGCCTGAGCTCGCCTCCAGAAGGCCTTGTCAGGGGCGGAGGCAAGCGGCCGTTTGGTCGGTTTTAGGGCTTTTAGGGTTTATGGTTTAGGGCTTAGGGTTTAGAGCTTTCATAGATTTTGGGGGTTTCGGGTTTGGGGTTTCGTGTTTAGGGTTTAGGGTTTAGGGTTTCGGGTTTAGGGTTTAGGGTTTAGGGTTTAAGCTTTCATAAAATTTGGGCTTTAGGGGTTTGGGGTTTTGGATTTGAAGGGCTTAGGGCATTGGGATTCAGGGGTTGAGGGCTTACGATGCTTTTACAAAGGTGGTATGTAAGTTTGATACAAGATTCTAGAGGGTCTTATAAGGCGGCTGTAGGGCTCGATAAGGGCCTTAATGAGCTTTTATCAAAGCTCACACAGCTGCTATTGTGGTTTGGAGCTTGGGCGTTGCGGTGCAAGGTTTAGGCGGGTTAGGCACTGTCGAAAACCTAGGTAATATCTGTCCCGGATGTTCGTATGGCTCGAGTACCCCGCGCTCCTGCTGAGGTGCGGTGTGCGCAGTTTAGCTGGCCTGAAGCCTTCGACCCTACACGTTTTTGAACTCCTAACACGGCTGAAAGAGCCCAACGAAGACCTCTAAATACCTGAGGAAAAAAACCTTCATAACATCCGACCGATCCTGTTAGATGCAATTCTGCCTTGCTCCACTACAACCCGATATAAAAACCACAACACAACTTTCTGTATAGAACCCTAAACCCCAAATCCTGTCTAGAACCCTATGTGGATCCCTATAAGGCGACCCCTGAAAAAACCAAGTGACTTTAGACTAACACACTACAAGCCGTAAAACCTAAACCTTACACGCTAAACTCGAAACCCTGACAGTGACTCAGTGCAACCCTCTTGAAGAAACATGTTCAAACACACTCGGAAACTTAAACTATGAACCCTAAACCCTAAACGCTCAACCCTAAACCATGTTCAAAGACGCTTTAAAGCTTAAGCCATGGAAGCCTGAAGAAACAACCCTAAAGCCTAAACCCCCCTGAACCCTAAACCAAGGCGCCTTGATGTTCTCCTTGGAGGTGTCCAGCTCCAGGCTGCGGTCGGCGTCTGCCAGGGCTTCTTCGGACATGCCCTGGCAGCTTCGTGGGTTTAGGGTTTAGGGTTTGGGGTTAGGGGTTGAGGGTTTAGGGTTTAGGGTTTAGGGTTTAGGGTTGAGGGTTTAGGGTTGAGGGTTTAGGGTTTAGGTTTGAGGGTTTAGGGAGAAGGGTCTAGGGTCTAGGGATTAGAGATTAAGGCTTCCGTTTCGTCTGTGCATGCAGGGCCTTGATTCGTTTAATCAGGGCTTTTTGTTAAAGGGGTTGTTCCAAAGACAGCCCTAAACCCTAAACCCTAAACCCCTAAACCCTAAGCCGTAAACCGTTGTATGGGTTGTGTCGTTTCGAGGAGTCTTTGTCCTAAGGGCTTTGTGTAGGGTGTTTACATGGGCATCCGTAAGGGGCTTAGGGCGCTCGTTTTGGGTTTCTCTTCGATATGAAGACTTTTGTGAAGGTTTACAAGGGTATACATAAAGGGTTTAAGGCTCGTTTCGGGTCTGAAAGACCCTAATATAGGGGCCTGAATAATAAGAATAGGGTTTGGGTGTATATTGTACTCTTATTCTGAGTACGGAACCCCCAAAAAAAGCCTATGCTAATTACTACGGCCCCTCCCTTGCACCAAGATTTTTGTGAGGGTTCACAAGCCAAGCCCTCGCCCTAATAGTCATATACTCTCCTGAATACTACCCTACAAAACTACAATCCATAACCCAGATTATTAGGTCCTTTGGACCCTTAGGGTGGGTGCCTGCTTCAAGTAGGCCATGGCCCGATTGTTCAGCAGCACCGTGTTCTCTGGCTGAAGGTCCAAAGCCTGTCAGGAGGGCGGGTTTAGGGTTTGAGGTTTAGGGTCTGTGTTTTGCATCATCTTTTCTGTAGTGATAAGGTTTCTAAAAATGGGATGTGTTCTGTAGTTATAATAAGGCTCTACAGAACCAGAAGGGCTTCATAGGGTTTTTGCAGGATTTCGAAACATGGTCCTGGATGCGCGCATAACTCCTGTCCGGGTAAAGCGTTTACGGCGAAAGTTTCCGTTTAGGGTTTAGGGTTTAGGGCTTAGGGTTTCGGGTTTAGGGTGAGGAAGAGGTATCCCCCTAACATACTGTGGGGTCTCGTGCTTGCCGTTCCATGCGCCGTCATGTTTCTATGATCCGTAAACGGAGCATCCTCCAGGGGTTCAGAACTTGGGGGATATCGTGCAAGATGTCGGTAGAGGGTTCAAGGGGTGAAGGTTTAGAGTCGGTTTAGGTTTAAGCAGTGAAGGTTTAGAGCTTCGAGCATCTCGCACCACGGGGTAGACTGCACGTATAGTGTAGGCTGTACCAAATCACAGTTCATACAGTTCCTTTCGGATCCCAGAAGATTTTTGTGATGCTTACAAAAAGAGGCAGATGCACTCCCAGCATCATATGGTGGACTTGCGCACAAGATATCTTCATTTACCGCACAACACTCCATCTTACACAGCAAATATATATATATATATATATATATATTTATTTATTTATTTATTTATGTATAACTACATATATTCTATATATATATATATATACATCCCTCGCAGGCCGTGCCTCGCTGTACATCATCGAGGCCTGCGCAAAGGGCAGGGAGGTTTCGGGGCTTTGGAGTGTCAACGCTCTCCTGTGTTGAGGGTTTCAGGTCCTTTCTGTTTTAAATTGGGAGTGTGTTGTAAAGTATTCGTGCTTTAGAACAACGGAATCCTGTCTTCTGCCCTTCTCGTTCCTGGGTCCTTGTTGGATACAAGCTTAATTACATGTTTGTTGTAAGAAAACCCGATAGGAATCAAACATACTATTTTTAATAGAGTCCCAACAGGGAACCAGGTTCGCAACACTGGAACTGGAATAAAGCCTCAGAGTATTGCCGTCACCGTTCTTCTCGACAGCACTCACCCACCCACGAACACGACGACGAGTTCGTACTACCCTGGAAATAAATATTAAAACAGAAATATACCAAAATGATATTACTTGCATTCCTCTCTAAATATCTCATTTTATGCATGAAAAGTGCGGCATGTAGAAGCCACGACGCAAAAGTTACGAGTATACTGCCTGCCATCTAATATTCGGGTAGTATTTGCGATGCATTTGGTAACTAAGATCCTCTTGGGCGCAATGAGGGAAAATATGAAATGTCCCAAAGACTTTCCTAGGCAACTTGTATTTTTCTTTTTGGTTTCAGCAGAAGTTTACATAAGCTCTTCTTGCTTGGAGTCCGGTTGTCTTTTGTTTTTGTACGGGCAGGTGTTTACATTTAGGACCCTACTATAACAAAGACCAGCTTACCCGGCTTCCCTTAGTGATAAAGCTACCCTTTCCTGTTGTTCGTCAGCAGTAGGGAGACCCCCAACAAAAAGGGCAGGAAACCGAGCAGGGCAGGGTCTGAAACTCCAGATTGCAAACCATCCAACTGACAGGCTGTTGGTAAAGGTAGAAGTTTTCTTGTTGCAACCCCCATAACCCTATAACCCCAAACACTAAACCCCAAACCCCTAAATCCTAAACCCTCAAAGCTGAACCCTAAACCCTATAAGCCTAAACCCCCCCTTGATTTACAGTTCCTACTACTTGGAGCCCGGCCCGCCTGCGAGAAGAGACCGAGCTGGAAAAACTGATTGCCTTGCGCCACTTCGGGTTTTAGAAGGTTGGTTTAGGGTTTAGGGTTTAGGGTTTAGGGTTCAGGGTTGAGGGTTAAAGGCCAACAGGGTTCTAGGGCCCAGCCTACTATAATCATGGGTCATTTGGGAGTTTCCGGAAAGAAGGGATACCTTCTTTCAGGGTCCTTACAATAAGGATCCTGCTAGTTAGGGTCCCCTATTTTCGGAAACCCCCCACTTGGGGATTTTTTGAAGCTTAGAGTCTAGGGTCTAAGGGTTTAGGGGTCCAGGGTTCCCAGAGACCCCAATATTCCTTAATCCAGGAATATTCCTTAAATTATAGTAGGATCCTTAATATGATTGAAGGTCTATTCCTTAATTAAGGGATATTGGAGTCTTTGGGTTTTAGGGCTTTAGCGCTTTAGGGTCTAGGGGGAGACTCCCAGCCTTGCGACTTCAGCTTGTCCGCATTGGATTCGAGACCCTGCGCGGCCAGGAGAGCGTTTGGAGTTAGGGTTTCGGGTTCAGCGTTTGGCGTTTCTTTGGGGTTTAGGGTTGAGGTGTTTGAGGGTTTTGGGTTTCCAGGGTTTCGGGTTCAGGGTTTAGGGTATTTTGGGGGGGTTTAGGGTCTTTCTTCTAGGCACCTATTCTCATCAACTGCAGCGTCTCGAAAATCCCCATAGGGAATGTGGTTGGACAGGGATCTTTTGATCTTGTCCATCGGCACAGGGCTTCGGGGATCAGGGCTTTGGGTCGCCGACATGGGTGCCCGCAAGGATTCTAATCTAGAAGCAGCACAGTATCGGCTGAGGGGCTCCGGTCGGTCTGATTGGAAGCAAAAGCAAACCACCCTAAACCCTAAACCCCAAAATTACAGTACGCTACACATCCGCCTCATACAACTTGGGCCGAAGTCATCTGACACCCACAAGAACTAGCCCCTAAACCCTAAACCCCTAAACCCTAACCCAAAAGCCCCTAAAACCCCTTGCCTCTTGCTTGGATCGCATCGAGTCCAGTTGTCTGCGGAAGTTCAAAAACTCGTGCTTTCGACTTTGCGAATCCTCCTCATCCTGCGTGGATGAATCTGCACTTAGGATTCAGGGGTTTAGGGTGTAAGGTTTTGACTTTAAGGGTTATGGGTTTTCGGGTTTACGGGTTAGGGTTTGGGGGTTTAGTTTTAGGGTTTAGGGGTTGGGGTTTAGGGGTTCGGGTTTAGGGGTCAGGCTTTAAACTCAGGGGTTAGGGTTTAGGGGTTCAGGCTTTAGGGTTTAAATTCAGGGTTTAGGGTTTAGGGGTTAGGGTTTAGGACGAAAAGAGTTTAAGCTCTAGGGTTATGGCAAGAGCAGCAAAGGCCTGTTGAGGTGAAGGAGCAATCACCTTCACTGCCGCTGACTGCTACGAGGGAAAAGTTGGCAATTCCCTGCAAGCCCTACAATCTAAACCCTAAACTGCCCTTCTCTTTGCCAAAACAGACAATCTAAACCCTAAACTGCCTTTCTCTTTGCCAAAACAGTTTCTCTGTGCCAAAACAGACATTGCCAAAACAGACAAGGGAGCCGCGTTCAAGCAGCCAGGGGAACTCGCACAGCCCCCCTAGAGCCGGAACCCTGAAAACCCTAAATGCTTGCAAGAACCCTTGTGAGAAGTCGCGTCAAGCCAGTATATAAAGCCTCATGAAAACCTGTGTGAAAGCCAGTAGAACCGCCGATGCTAGCTAGACCTTTTCTGCATGTGTTGCTGCTCCTCGTCCGCTGCATCCTCGCGCGCCATCGAAATCAAAACAGGCGCCTGAGAGGATTAGGGTTTGAGAAGATTTCGTTAGGGCAACCCTACATTGACCCTAAGTCTTTTGCGAGGCATAACCTTTACGTACACTGAGATTTGGTCACTTCTACTTCGTAAACACGCGACCTTACATACAAGCCACATGTGCTCGTACAGGACCTGCATCATGCACCTGGGCCGTAGTCCACCACTCGCCAGGGAACCTAAACTCTGAAGGCTCAGGCAGCTCCACTGGCACCCTCTTATCGACACCAAACTCAAAAGATCGTACACAAGGAATGCTATCGTCAGAACCTCAGAAGAAGATGTGGGGCAACAGAAATGATGGCTGACCAGCCATGGAAACCCCGACAGAAGCCGCGGGGTGACCGGCCGTAATAATGAAGGTGATGATTATGACAATGATAATGGTCATAACAATACTAATAATCGAAATATGAAACAAAATCAGAAGAAGAACAATACTGCAAACTTTAAAACCCCAAAAGCCCCCAAACCTCCAAGCCCCTAAACCCCGAACCCCAAAGCCCCAAACCCTATGACAGCATGCCCTGAACCCTAAACCCTAAATCCGAATCTAGGGGCCTTAACATTTAGAATAGGGTTTTGGGGTCCTTTATAGTATAAATATAGTAATAATAATATGGATAATAATAACACTAATAGTAATAAAAAAATAATAAGGAACCCCCAAAATAATGTAGGCAATTGTTGAGGCTCCTATAATCAGAGCTTAGCAGGTCTGAGGCGGTCGCAGCGCCCGAAGCTGAGTCGGGAAGGGGCGAAGCCTAAGGTCCTACGTCCAGCTTTGGAGCCCAAAGCTGCAAACGGTTTAGGGGTTCAGGGGTTTCGGGTTTAGGGGTTTAGGGGTTTAGGGTTTAGGGGTTCAGGATTTAGGGGCTTAGGGTTGAGGGAGTTTAGATAGGGTTTATACATATATATATATATACACATACATACATACATACATACATACATACATACATACATACATACATACATACATACATACATACACACACACACTTGATTTTCTATTTGTTATTCAAGCTTTCATTTTAATCTAGCTTCTACGGTATTTGAGAATGCAAACAGTTTCAAGGATAGCCATGTTGTAACCCCCATGGCGATTCAACTAATCCTTCTTGTAAGCCGCATAGTGACCGCTGCAAATACCCTTCGAAAGTAGCCCTTGTAGCAACCCTTCTAGCAAGCCCTACTGAAAGCAACCCTTGCAGCAGCCGCAGCGATGGCACATTCCCATCAGCAGCTGCCCTACACCCAACACCCTAAACTAAACCCTACACCCAAAACCTTGGTCTACTCTGAAAACGCCAACTTACCAAACCCTAAGGTGCTTGAATCCTACATAAGGCTAAGCTCTTGTTAAAGATTTAAGGCTTAGAGTATATGGTCTAAGGTTTAGGGTCTAGGGTGCTGTAAGAACCCGTCAAAAACACCCTCTCAAACCCTTGTACAATCATGAGGTTGGGTGGTATAATATTGCAGTTTTACGTGGAAAAGGCCCTAAACCCCAAACCCTAAAGGCCCCTGCTAATTGTTCGGGCTCTGTCCCAGCTTGTTTTGGCATTGCCCGCCACGGTCTTGCATCGGTCGCTGAGCAACCACAACATTAAATGAGGCCGAGACGAAGACCAACTGCATCTTGCAGCGTGGCCGTTCATTCTCAGCTGCTGCGATGAGCAGCGGTTTGTGAAACTTAAGCTCGTTAACGGCCGCAGGGCAGCAGCGCAAGCCGGTTTTAGGGTTTGACACCCTTTTCGGGATGTTGATGGGTGGCATGCAAAGGCTGGTGCTGCTGCCGGCGGTAGGTGAGACTCCCTCTGAGGGCTACTGCCATGCGGCATTCCAGCAGCAAGAGGGCAGGCACGAGGCTGTCCGACGCTAGATCGCCATCTCAGCCCGCACCTTCAGTCAGGGATCGTGTGCCACAGTTTACACTCGCTCCCCTAACCCTCCCAGGTACCTACTATATATAGGGCCGTAGGGGCTCTAGTACCCTATATAGTAGGTACCTGGGGGTTTAGAGTCTGACATGCTGCGAATGATCTGAAGCTCGTAGAGCTAGAATGTGCGACCGCAAGCGCCTGCGGGTCATTCTCTCGGCCCTCCTCCGCGCATGTTCTCCTGCGCAGGCGCACGATTCTGTTGTACTGTGCCCTGCCATGGTGTCAAGTCTTGCTTTGTCTATGTATTCAATGTATTCTCTGCTGCGATCTTACCATATCTCTCGTGTGCGATACTGTTTACGCTACACAGATGTCTTTCGACACCCATCCCCGGTCCAGATGCATGCCGACTCACCAGAAAACCCCTGAGCTTCCAGACTTCTACATCAAGATCCCTCAACCTCACCCGAAGCCAAAAAAGCCCTTGTGGAGCCCTTATAGAACCCCCTTAGAGCCCTTAGCAACACCCTCTTTTTGCAACCCTTTTTACACAAAAGCAGAACAAACATAGAACCCCTTATAGCAACCCTCCTTAAACCAGACCCTTTGCGAAAACAAGAACCAGAATAAAGGGCTTAGGGTTTAGGATTTCGGGTTCCCCCTTTCAACCCTGAACCCTAAACGCAGAACCCAGAACCAGAATAAAGGAGCTCCTTGATGAAATTCTTGCGACGACTCTGGGAGGCTTTCTGCAACTGCGCCTCCATCTCCCTCGTAAGCCTGCATCCGTGTGCGGGTTAGGGTTTTGGAGTTTGGGGGTGTAGCGTTAGGGTTTAAGCTCAGTCGAATTGGATGTTCGATATTCAAGCCTTTGCGGCTTTTGTGATTTAGTGCGTTGGGTATTGGGTTTCTGGCTCGAAACAAGGGGGCCCCCTGTCCTGCTGCAGAAGCCCTTGTATACTCGTCTAGAGTCTACAGCCAGAACCCTAAAGCCTGAACCCGAAACCCTAAAGCCCGTATACCCTAAACCCTAAGCCCCAAACCCCGAGAGAGCCCCATAATGTAGGGGCCTTAATGATTAGAATAGCATGTTCGTGATATTAAACTATGATTATAATAAGGAACCCCAAAATAATAGTATTAGTACTTATTTTGGCCCCTACGTTATGGGATGCTTCGACAACCTGCAAACGCGTCGACGACCAGCATTGACACGCGGGTTGGGTTTAGGATTCACGGTTTGGTAGGGCTTAGGGTTGGGGGGCGGGGCAGTCAGTCGGGACACAATGCTGCTGGGTTTAGGGCTCAGACATCTGTTCGTAAAAGGATGACAGCGATGTGCATCGTTTTTGTCAATGAACTACCAGCGCATGTTGTCTGGCATGTTGCGCGCCTGGTTGCTACCTTCGGCTTGTCCACCACTGGGGCACTGTACTTCGGGTGCGTGCCCTTGACAAGGTAGGACCAGAACACATCCTGTCGGTTTAGGGTTTAGGATTTAGGGGTTTAGGGTTTAGGGTTTAGGGTGGGATTTAACTTGCTCACGCTTGCATAGGCACCTAGGCCGCCGTTCATGCACATCACAGATACATCCAATTGTACCAAGGTAAGGATTACAAAAAACTCTAGCTCCATCAAACGATACAAACATAAGGGCTATCAAAGACTGCAAGTAACGTTTAGCTAATGGAATGGATACCCTCAAAGACCTGAATTTCTCTGCGGGTCCTCTGTCTGAATGATTAGCTTGCCCTGCACAGGCTTGCCATACTCGGTGGGCTTGTACGTGACCACCTCCAAGATAAGGGTTTTGGGTTTTGGGGTTTGGCTGACAAGAAAGCAGCTAATATGGTACTCAAGCACAACCTGTCATGGGCAATTGCGTAAGTTACAGTATCATTATGAGCAAGAGTACGACGAGCAAGAGTGCTGATAACGAGTGCAGTTCACGGCTACCCGGAACCAAGTGAAGCTCAGCTCAAGGCCGAAATAAATGATGCCTATACCCTAAACCCTCAACCCCAAACCCTAAACCTTCAACCCTAAACCCCCAAACCCTAAACCTTCAACCCTAAACCCCCAAACCCTAAAGCCTAAAGCCTAAACCCTAAACCCCAAACCCAGAATCTTCAACCCTAAAACCCCAAACGCCAAACCCTAAACCCTAAACCCTAAACCCCCTACCCCCTAAAGCCCTAAGCCCTAAACCCTAAACCCCTAAACCCTAAACCCCCAAATCCCCAAAACCCCCTAAAGCCTAAAGCCTAAAAGGACCCGGAGCTTCCGAGTCCGAGATGCAAAGGTGGTGCCACTCGTCCCCGCTGGCTCCAGAACTCCTGGTAATATAGGGGCCTTAAGAATTCGAATAGGGTTTTTTGGGGGGGTTCCTTTTAAGGATTGTAAAATGGGCTATACTATAAGGGGCTTAGGGTTTAGGAGCCTTAAGAATTAGAATAGGGTTTTTTGGGGGGTTCCTTCTAAGGGTTCTATAAGGGCTGTACTATAAGGGGCTTAGGGTTTAGGGGCCTTAAGAATTAGAATAGGGTTTTTTGGGGTTTCCTCCTAAAAGGGTTCCTTAAAGGGCTCTATAAGGGCTACTAGAAGGGTTTGGGGTTTAGGGTTTCTTAAGAATCAGAATAGGGCTTGGGGTATATTCTACTGCATATAATTGTAATGGGAAACGCCCAAACCCTATTCTAAGTATTAAGGCCCCTAAACCCCAAACCCCAAGAGTAGCCCTTATAGAACCTGTAAAGAAACCCCAAAACCCTGTTTTCATTATAAAGGCCCTACGTTACTTAGCCGAAGAGACCCCCCTGGGCTTCGGCTTCTTTCGTTTTGCGATGCCTACAGAGCCTCGGTACGCGGAAGGGATCTATTGGGGGGTTCCTTTAAGGGCCTCCCTTTAAGGATCTTCAGGGGTTCCTTTTCAGGGCTCCTTTAAGGGTTTCTTTGAGGGTGTCTATAATGGGCTTAGATTTTAAAGTTGACTTTGGAGTTCGGCTAAGCCCGAACTGGTTTTTCTAAGGGTGGCAAAATGGGTCTAGGGTTTCGGGTTTGTCCCAGTTCCTGCCGTGGGCTGCACCGTGAACTCGTACGCAGACTCCGCGTCGAAGAATGCTTCAAACTCGGAGTACACGCTGGTGTGGTTGTTCAACCTGAAAGCCACCTCGGTTTAGGGTTGAGGGTTTAGAGGGCTTGGGGGCTAGGTTCCCCAGTAGCCCATACTACTCGGTCTTAATGAGGGAACCCAAAAAGAAAAAGGGCAAAAGGGCTCTACTAGGCAACCTAGGGGTTAGGGCTGAGCAGTCACTTGCAGGCTGTTCAGAAGCTATGGGGCCAAGGTAATATAGGCACCCTAACAATTAGAATAGGGCTTTGGGGCCCATTATACTATAATTGTGAGAAGGAGCCCCCAAAATAGTATTGGTGATTATTTTTGGGCCCCTACGTTACTTTAAATCCAATACGGGGGCCCACAACAGGAATACTGATTTGGGCCCGGAGCACCAACCAAAAAAGGGGAGCATGAAAGCTTCAGAGCTAGGTGATGCTGAAGCTGCGGGCCGTATTTTGTAGGACCATGAAAGACGTGTGTGGGGGTTTCCAAACATAGGGACCCTAATATAGCACCCCCAAATAATAGGATCCTGATTATAAGGGCCCCAAATTAAGGTACCCTAGTTTTCGGAAACTCCCATGTAAAAATCTAAGACCGTAGGGAACACGAAAAAAGTACACCGAATTGCCACCTAGGCAAGGCACACTCGCCGGCTTGTTCAGCGGCGATTGGATTGAGATTATGTCGTCCACCTGCCAAGGCAGGAACCAGAGGAGGAGGAGGAGGCAATATGAAAACGTTATGCTGCGGTGAATCGCTCTCTTGGTTTCATTGCCTGTATAGCGCAGCACGGATTCACACCACATCGTTTCAACGGCATGGGGCGTCCATACAGCAGACAAACCAATAGACAGGCAGAGAAGTAGATAAATAGATAGATAGGTAGATACATCGCCAATGAGATAGATACATAGCTCGGTAGATAGATAGAGATAGATAGCGATAGATAGAGATAGATCGAGATAGAGATAGAGATAGAGATAGAGATAGAAATAGAGATAGAGATAGAGATAGAGATAGAGATAGAGATAGAGATAGAGATAGAGATAGAGATAGAGATAGAGATAGAGATAGAGATAGCGATAGCGATAACGATAGAGATAGAAATAGCGATAGAGATAGTG